TGTTATCTTTGTTAAGATAGTGAGTTATCTTTTAATAAAATTTAAATCATAAGAAAAGATGCATATACTTTTCATTTAATTATCTTTTCTGGGGTTTTTCATTCACTAGTATAGATTCACATTTTCCACTTACATCACTTTGCTTTTGCCTGAAAGACTTTCATGAACATTTCTTGTATTACAAATCTGCTAGTTATGTGTTATTCCATCCTTTATGTGTATGAACAAGTGCAAATTTTGCCTTCATTTTTAAAGGGTATCATTGCTATGTACAGAATTATAGATTGGAAGTGTTTTTACCTTTCAGTACTTTAAAAATATTGCTCCACTATCTTGTTACTTGTTTCCAAGGACAAATATTCTATGATAATTTTCTTTTTTCTATTGTAACATGCTTTGTTTCTCCCTCAGGAGGCCTTTAAGGCTTTAGTTATCAGTGGGTGAAAGTAGTGTGTCTTGATTTACTTTTCTTCATATTTCTTATGCCTTATTTCAAGGTTCTTGAATTTTTGCATTTATGGTTTCCATCAATATTGGAAAAATTTCAGCCATTATTTCCCCCTATATTTTCATGTCCCCTTATCTCTCTCTCTCCTCTTTTTGGATATTCCAATTATTCCATTTATATTATTAGGCTGATTAAAATTGTCTTACAAAAAACTCATTGACACTTTTTTTATTAAAAAATTCTTTCTGTTTTTCATTTTGGATAGTTTCTCTTGCTATGTTTTCAAATTCAGTATTCACTTTTTTCTGAAATTGTTAATCTGCCAGCAATTCCATCAGAATGTTTTTTATGTCAGGTGAAATTCTCGTGTCTAGAAGTTCAGTCTGGGCCTTTTTAGGCTTGCTCTGTCTCTGTGTAACTTCTGACATCCAACACGGTGTGTATTAGTTTCTTAGGGCTGCTGCAGCAAAGCACCACATACTTGATGGCTTAAATCAACAGAAACAAATTCACTCACAATTTTGGAGGCTAGAAGTTCAAAACTCAGGTGTTGGCAGGACTACTCCCGCTGAAGGCTCTAGGGGAGATTCCTTCCTTGCCTCTTCCTAGCTTCTGATGACCGCCAGCAGTCCTTGGTGTTCCTTGGGTAGCGTCACCCTGGTCCCTCCTCTGTCATCACAAGATATTCTCTCTGCATATCTCTGTCCTAGATTCCTGCTTCCTACAAAAACACCAGCCACTGGATTAGGACCCTTCCTAGTTCAGTATGACCTCAATTTGAACATCTGCAAAGACCCTGTTTCCAAACAAGGACATTCTCACAAGCACTGGATGTTAGAACTTCAAGATATCTTTTTGGGGAACACAATTCAACCCCTTGCAATGTCCTTGTTTGATCATTCTAACACCTTTATCAGTTCTAGGTAAGTTTGGGTTGGTTGATTTTTCTCCTTAAAGTGAGTTGCATTTTTCTTCTTCTTTCATGCCTAATAATCTGTATTTGAATTGCAGATGTTGTAAGTTTTACCTCTTTTGGTACTGGGTTATTTGTTTTCATAGAAATATTTTTGAGATTCGTTATCAGATGTGGTGAGGAAACAGTAATTTAACTTGGAAACAGTTTGATATTTTTGGATCTTGCTTTCAAGGCTCGTGAGTGGGACCAGAGTAGCATTTGATTTAGCACTAATTATTCCCCACTCCTGAGGCAGGGCTCTTCTGAGCACTCTACATAATATTCTATAAATTAGTAAGTGTTTCCATTTGGCTGGTGGGAATACTCACTACTCCTGGTCCTGTGTGAGTGACAGGCACTTTTCCTCCAATCTCATTAGATGCTTCTTTCTCCAGCCTCAGTTTCTCCACATACTCTGCTGAATACTCCAAGGAGACCCTTCATAGTTCTTCGGAGTTTTCTCTTTATGTAACTCTTTTTTCTCTATTAGTTTGTCCAGCCACATTGGTCTTCCCAAACTCTCATCTCTGTCTTCTCAATTCAAAGCACCCACTGAGCTCTGCCTGGCTTCCTTCTCCTTGAGCCATGGCCTGGAAACTATCTCAAGGCAGGAAGTTTTGGAGATCACGAGCCTTACCTTATTTGTTCCCTGTCTCTCAGGGGTCACTTTATCTGATGTCTTTTGCCTTTAAAAGCATTGTTTCATATATTTTGCCTGCTTTTTTTTTTTTTAATTCTGGTGGGAGGGAAAATCTGCTCTCTGTTTCTATGCGAGTACATCTTCGCTGGAAACATAAATGGCATGCCAAACTCTGTAACGTTTTAATCATGAAATTGGCTCAGTGGTGATCATAATATAGGTAAAATCTCCTATGTCTACCAGTTACGGTTCAGGAAAGTGGATCCAGCCTTCAGGATAACCATGTTCTAATAACCTGGTCAACAAATTGCTATGATAATCAACAAGGTGATTTTCTTTCTTTAGCATAACTTTTAAACTGGGGCAAATAAACATATGAGAAGATGAGTCTGTTTAAGTAAAGAGAAAAGTGTTTGTACTTGGATCCATTGAACACACAAAAAATGCTTTTAAAGATAAGAGATAAATGAGAACAGCTAAGAACATTACTTTTTCCTCCTTGTAGAAGAATCATTAGCATGGTCCAGATATCAGAAAGTGACATTTAGCAATGGATTCTTCTGTTTCCACCCCCCAGAAAGATACCTATTAAAGTGGACCTTACGCTATATGACTTAGCTACACAAAATGTTTTGTAGTTTTAAATTTGTACATTAATAATTGTTCATTTTGACCAAAATGCAAACAAATTGCTGTGTTTTATATTTGTAATGCTCTTGACAGTGACAAATACTATAATTAGTAAGTGTGTGGCTGAAAAGAATATTATGGGATCAATGGTATACAATGAGTGGCTGAAGATGATTCTTTGAGCAGCGGCCAATACCCTTCTTGCAACATTTTGTTTCTTATTTTGGCGATTCTAGATTTGCAGTTAGCTTGGAAAGATGATGCAAGAGGAATCAAAACCATTTCTGATGGTTTTGTGCTGGTGTAAACAGAGTGGCTTTCACGACTCTCTAGGTTCAGAGAGAATTTTGAGTAGCTCCGATTAGGATATTGGAGATATCTCTTTAACCTTACACATAGCATGCCACTTTGGTGCTCCGTCTTTCTTCTTGTCACTTATAAGTAACTGTCTGGTGATATTATAAGGAGGCTTGATTATCTGTGGTGGTTAGATAGAACCAAGCTATGTCAAATGGTAGAGAAGGCATTACTTGTGCTGGGCAATCACTGGGCAAAATACAGGCTGTACTCTTTTCATGCCAATAGGAGGACGGTCAGGTTCAGGCTATGGACAGTACTTGTCTGAATCGTGGCCGAGCAGTCTGTGGACATGGGCTTTCCTCTAATACCTTTGGGTCTGCACCCACCTCCCCCCACACTCTCCAACTCCTCTCTCTGGGACCCCCTTTTCTATTTCTTATCACATTCCCAGCCAAGAATCCCTTTTATTTTGGGGGACTGATCTTTTTCATATTTTCTTATCTCTGAGCAACATGAGAGCAGAAACTATGCCATCTCCTTGTTCTCACTGCATTTCTAGTGTCTAATACAATATCTGAATCCTAGAAAAGTTCAGCATATATTTGCTGAATTAATTGAATGAGTACAATTGTTTTGAAAAAGTTAAAATGTTAACCAAAATATGAAGTTACTCATATGCTTTCACATGCATATGAGACAATTTAATGGGTGTTCTTAATTTTGTTCACATTTGTGGCAGATAGTGTGTATTCTCGAACACAGCTGTGACTAAGCAGCTCGAAGATAGATGCAAATACATAGATAGGTCCTTAAAATAATTATTTCATGTTCAAACTTGTTGTAACATCTACCTCCCAGTGTTGGCTGACCAGAAAAAATATTTGAATGGTTCTAACATATCAAATTATGATATGTCATATTTATGTGTCTGTGTGTGTGAGAGAGAGAGAGAGAGAGAGAGAGAGAGAGAGAGAGAGAGAGAGATAGATAGATAGATAGATAGATAGATGAAAGGAGGATGGGAATTTTAAAAGGCTAGGTCCCTGCGTTTGAGAGGCTTCTAGTGTAATGTAAGGACCTGCTGGGGAATGGATCATTACAGCACACAATTATGAGAAGAGGGACCTGTGTCATTTAATGTGATCTAGCTGTTCTTGAGAAAGCCAGGAAAGAAGCTTCACAGATAAAGTAAAATTTGCCTTCAGCCTCCACAAGGAAAACATCAATGGCTTTTTTTGGTAGAGCAGAAGGAAAGAACCATCTTGATGACTAATTTGGATTTTCACTTCTTAGCCTTTCCAAAGCTCAGTTCTTTGTTGAGTTTTTTTACAATGACCTTTTCCTGGTTGAAACCGACTTCTCTGAGGGGAAAATGTCTCTCTCATGTTCCAGATATAGTGAGGAGGTGACACCCTAGCAGCAATCATGAAGCGACATCCCCATATTCTATTTTTGGCTTGTCAGTAATGAGCTACGAGGTCTTATGCGAGTCATTTACTTTATCCAGGCCTAAAATGTTTGTGTAGATAATCTGTTCTGTTCCCTTACAGTTCTAAGAATTTGTGAGCCAGAAGACATTTGGCTCTGGCAGTAAGGGGATTTTTACACATGACTGCTAGAAATTACACCTGCCTGTTCCCTAAGGAACAGAAAGCTAGTCTATGTTAGTATCATAACTATTTTGATTTTTTCTTTTTAAAATAGTAAAATAAATATTTTAGACTTTTCTGATTAAATTATACGCTGGGCCAAGGCAGGTCTCTAATTCCTGGGGCGGGCGGGGGGGGGGGGTGGCGAAGAGAAGAGGGCAAGAGGGCATGCCCTGGGGCCACTAGTGGCAACTAATCCGGCTTCTTCCGGGAGAATCACGAGAAGACAGTCGTGTGGCATCTTGGGACTTGCAGTTTATTTTAGGGCTGCTGCCCCTTAGTAATTCTTTGTTTTGCGGATGATACAGACTACAACTCCCAGAGGGCCAAGCGCCACCAGTGGGGCCCTGTACGCTCGCTGCGGCTAGGCGGCTAGTTTAAGTTGCCATAGCTGCGAGTCAGGGCAGAGCACTGTCGGTTGCGCCGCCGCGTCGGGTCCGTATCACCTTCTCGGTCACAGGTGGCCGTGGGAGCCGGGCGGGCCTCGGCGATGATCCGGCATTAAGGATCTGGGACTCTCCTCTATCTCAGGTACCTTCCCCCAAGCTCCCCCTGGCCTTTTCTTTACCACTTCCCTGTCTTGTAGATGTTTTAAGTCCCACTTCTCCATGTCCCATGGGTGGGGACAGTGGCCGCGCGGAGATTTGGAGTAGGGCGGTGGCTGGGTAGAGTGTGTGCCAAGGTCGGGAGAGACGGCATGCCTGGCATCCAGACGCCCCCTCCCTCAGCATGGGTATCCGCAGTCAGGTGTTTGCCAAGTTATCCAGGGAATTTGAACTTCGTTGTCCTCTTGCGAGTGGCTAGTCCTGCCGCTAGCAGCCACGAAGCCTAAGCTGTCAAGGAGATCAGCCTCATTTTGGAGATTATTTCCTGGCCTGCGATATAACTTGCCGTTCTATACCTGTTCTATATCACAAAAGTTTGCTACTCTGGGAACGCTCTATCAGTCTTTCCTATGCCAACATGGGAGTTGCCATAATGTTAACAGTCCCTGGTTTGTGTTATTTCGTGGGGACACCCGACACGTTTTGATGGGGCTCAGTCACTTCCGTAGACTTCTTTTAGAACCTATTTGTAACGTTGTTTCAGAAATTATGTGAAGTATCTAGAACAGGGCCTGGCACATTGCAAGTGCTCAGTATTTTTTATTTATTTTTATTAATTATACAGAACAGTGCTCTCAAATAGAAATATTTGTGAGCCACACATACAAGTTTAAATTTTCTAGTACCCACATTATGCCAGTAAAAAGAAACTGGTGAAATTAATTTCAATAATTTATTTAGCACAATGTATCCAAAATGTGTTAATTTCAACATGTAGTCAATGTGTAACTTATTGAGATATTTTAAAACTCAAAAGATTTTTTTAAATGGTTAAAAGTCTTCAAAATCTTGTATTTTACACTTACAGCACATGTGAATTCAAACTGGCCAGATTTCAAGACCTCTCTAGCCACATATGGCTAGTGACTACCGTATTGTGCAGTTTAGATTCAAGATTAAAACTTTGGCAGCTTCATATTGGCACAGAGAAATTGGGGTTTGTTTGTGACTCGACTCTTGGGGTGAGGGTTGCTGCTTTTCTCGAAGAGCCAAGTACACATAAAACCTCTGCTCTCAGCATGTCCTCTCTGCCATTTCAAGACATGTCACTTGAACGCTCCACAGTTTATTTTGATGAGCTTTTCCAGAATACTTTTTTCTTGAAGTAGCTTATAGATGTAGTCCCAGATCTACTTTTTATGCGGACAACTACCAGGTCTCTGGATATGTTTCTGTGTATTCTTATACAGTGCTTTAAAACCAGTCACAAAGAGTTGAAAATATTTCTGTTCACAGCTCTTTCTTACAACCAAAGGGATTTTACTTATTTAATCGTGATACTAGATGTGGGAAGAACTGAGCAGCTTATAAAATATTTCCTTTAAGGGGAGCAAGCATATAGTGTGTTAACTGGCTTAGAAATTCAATTGGGTCATTACACTCAGAAGAGACATGTTAAATTCATTACTTGATTTAGTTACCCCCTGATAGACATGCAGAGAGAGAGAGAGAGAGAGAGAGAGTACTTTTAGCTAGACTTGGGCTTCAATTCACACTGCATGATCTAGCCAGCCCAAGGGGAGACCAGGTATGGGCAGGAGTGCCAGTGAGGAGTAGGCTGGCTGGGCACTTGGGTGTGAAGAATGAGTTCACTGAGGTTTTTGCATGACCCAAGGAGCATGTCCTTTGTTCTCTGATATGCCATAAACTGCACATAGTGAGGGTGAGCTTATTTTCATGTTCTATTATTTAAAAAATTTAAAGTTGTGGGTGTGTTTTACCCCTTGTTTTATTTATCTGTAGGTGGTTTGGGGAAAGTGTAAGGGCAATCAAAGATCATCACCTTGACTAGGCCTTTTGCCCCGAACCTCATGAAGAGATGATAGGAGGCAGACATATGTGCCTGAGAAGAGCACTGAGCTCAGTGGAGAGCAACACGGAGATTTGGGGGTGTGCTTTGTAAGTATGCTTTCTCCCTGCGTTTATGAGATAACAAAGTTTTGCATATTTATAGTGGAAAAGAATATGTCAACAAATAGTCTTTTAAGGGCGCAAGAAACCCCTTTCTCACAGTGTAGTATAAAAATTAAGTAGAATGCTTGTGCATGGAGTGGTATAAAAATTCAGGGGAAGAAACTAGATATTTTAACAAAAGCAGATGCAGATGTTTCTATTAGACAAGTATTTCAGAAGCTGTTTTGTGCGGGCACAGTAATAGGCACCTTTTGTGTGTTACATTCATAATGGTTTTATTATGCTAGTCTCCATTTTACAAATGAGGCAGTCAAGGCTCAGGTAGCTTATCTGATTTGCTTGGGATTCTGGAGCCCAAAGAGTGGTTTTCATCCCCAGGTGTTTGACTACAGTGTCAGTCCCGCCCAATGGGAAGAGGCCCCACTCTTGTCTCTGATGGCCCTCCAGTGAGATTTGGTTGACAGTTAGCATTTTTAGGTTAATAGTACCATGTAAGCATGTACCATGCTTAAATCTTACAGTTATTTAACTCTGTGAAGGTTCAAAGGGTTCTGTTATCTTAGTTTTTTCCAAGCTATAATGGTTCTTACATTATTATTGAGGTAAGAGATGGTTATAATTTGTGATTTCTATAAAATGAACATTTTCAACATGAATTGTCATTGATAACAAAGGACTACCCAAATTTTGCAAAGTAGATTTAAAATTCCAGACTCTTTGTAGCATTTTCATACTGCATTTTGATAAAGTTCACTCAGACATATAGAGGAGACCTACTGGGGCCTTGTAATAACAGTTTCCAAGATCTATGCTGTACTAAGTTCTTAGAATTAAAGAATTTTAAAGCTGGAGGAGCCTGATAGGATCATATAAACACAGATTGTCAACTGCAATCTTGACACATTTGTGAATAATATAAAAATATTATAGTAGATTCAGTAGTATTCATATAATAATGTCACTGGGTTGATTCTAATATGAAATGTTTTGGTATATTCATGTTATTCTGTAGTGTGTTTTTTGTTTCTTGCAATAAGGTATTATTTGCATGTCAGCACATAAAATTCTACCATGTCTCTTTTAACTGCTATATAGTATTTCAGTTGACTGCATTTAATGTATCCCTTATCAGTAGATTTGTAGCTTTTTCTTAATTTTTTTTAACTTCTATAATTCTAGCCCTGGCTGGCATAGCTCAGTGGATTGAGCGCGGGCTGCAAACCAAAGTGTTGCAGGTTCGATTCCCAGTCAGGGTACGTGCCTGGGTTGCGGGCCATGGCCCCCAGCAACCACACATTGATGTTTCTCTCTCTCTCTCTTTCTCCCTCCCTTCCCTCTCTAAAAATAAATAAATAAAATCTTAAAAAACTACTATAATTCTGCCATGCAATTCTGTACATACATATACACATGGGACGTATACATACATCTTTTACATACATCTTTTGTTTTCTTAGGATAATATACAGGGTGGTGCAAAAGTAGGTTTGTGATTGTGAGTATGCGAAACAGTTTGTTCTTATATTGTTATTTGTTAATTATTTTATTTTTTTCCCTACAAACCATTGTAAACCTACTTTTGCCGAACTCTGTACATAGAATCTCTGGGTCAAAATAGATGCATATTACTTATATTTTACTTGTCTCACCAGATTGTTCTCCAGAAAAGTTATATATTTTATTTAATATTCATACAGCAAGGTGTGCTCTTGTCAACCCTGGAGGTGAGAGCTCTTTTTTTCCTTTTTCATTTATACAAAACAGATAAATAAGAATATCATAATATTATCCTAATGTTCAATTCTTTAATCAGTAAAATAAAGTGTGTTATGTATTTGTTAGGGCCATATGCATTCTGTGAATTGCCTGTTTATATATCCAGTACTTACCTGGTCACCATACATAGTTATTACAATATTATTGACTGTATTTCTTCTGCTGTACTTTATATCCCCGTGCCTGTTTTGTAACTGCCAGTCTGTACTTCTCAGTCCCTTCATCCTTTTCACCCAGTCCCCAGCCCCTCTTCCATCTGGCAGCTGCCAGTCTGTGTTCTGTATCTATGCGTCTGTCTCTGTTTTGTTTGTCTGTGTTGTTCTTTAGATCCCATGTGTAATTGAAATCATACGGTATTTGTCTTTCACTGACCGACTTATTTCATTTAGTTTAATACCCTCTAGGTGAGATGAGGAATTTTATAGACTGTAGAAAGAAGGCAAAAGCTCAATGGCGGGAGAGTGAAGGCTATAAATTGGCAAAACGGGTATGCTTATGAACAGCAGTTGGTACATGGAAAGAGTACTGAGAATAGTCCCAGATGATAAAGAACCTAGATAATTTGGAGTGTAGTGCTTTATAGTACAGATAGATAACAATCGAGGAATGCAGGTAGCTGCAGATGACAATAATGAATTAAAATGATTTGCAGTAATTCAATCAGGGCTTCTAGGTTTGATTCAGTTGTTTTAACATATGCATTTAAATGGATTTGAAATATTTATCCTTGTTTTCTCTGTAAAAGACATTATCAAGTGTTCATATTTATACTGTTAGTTTAATCCATATTGTTTGAGGATGTAAGATAATTAATCTAGGCATTTCCCACAAGAATCATTTCACCCAACAATTATTTACTTAGTACTAATTGCAAAGTCCTCTTCTTTGAAATTTATCTCTGGATTAATCAGACAGGACAATAAGGAAATTTGATTGTAAATTTATTTAAAAATTTTCCAACTACATGGCAGGTACTATGCTAGCTGTTGAAATACAACTACGGATAAAATAAATGGAGTCTCTGGTAAGATTTTGAGTCTGGGGGGGAGACAGACAGTAAAAAAACCAATTAGCAACCTCAGGACTGTGATGAGTTGGTATCCACTGTGGATACTTGGTCCAGGGTAGGGGTGCTGGCAGTGAAGGACGGCTTTCTAGGGGAGGTTTCCTGTGAGTTGAGGCTTGAAAGAAAAGAAGAAGTTAGACAAGGGAAAAGAAGTGAAAAGAATGTTCCAGGCAGTGAATCCAGCTTAGGTTTTATGACAAGGTGAGCATGACATATTTGAGGAATTGAAAAAAAATTCTGTGGCACAAATAATTATATTTCATGAAGATGTTTAATAAATGTCTTGCTGTAATTATAAAGTGATACACATGCAGAAGAAGGAAAGATCACTTCTGGCTGGAGATGGAAGGCTTTCCTGAGACTGTATTTATTGAGCTATGCCTGGGAAGATGAGTGAAGCTTAAGTCGGTGGTGATAGTAGACAGCAAAAGGCATTCCAGCCAGAACTAATGACATTAATGAGGGATGGCGGTGGGAGAAGACTAGCTGGTCTTATGTTTTCTGTGGTTCTTTCGTTAAGACATAGGTGGCTGGCTGAGGATCTTGAATTCCTGATTCAAGAAGCTAGGCTCAGTCATGTGGCCAGGGGAGTGTCGATGAAGCTGGAATGTATAGGAAAAGATTCAGAGTTAGAGAAACCATTTTGGTGGCTAGGAATGAGTTAAGAAAAGTCCTGAATTTATGAATAGTGCCGGTGGCAATGAGAAGGATTAAATGGTTAGAAACCTGGACCTTGGAGAAAGGTTCAGTACCCAGCTCTGCTACTTGGTAGCTCAGTAACTGGTATTTCTTTCTTAGCTTCTTTAAGCCTTTTAGGTGTATAGCATGTGACAGTAGTGTTTACCTTGTAGGGTTACTGCATACAGCAATCTGTGATGTTAAGGCATTAGTTATTCAGCAATATTTCAACTTTTGTTTTTTGAAGGTTTTTGTAATGAGGTTCTTAACAGGAGTCTACATTCATTTACTTCCAATAATGAAATTTCATTATAAATGGATTTCTTTCTAATCCTATATCTTTAAAAATATTTATGTATACAGTTAAAAATATTCCAGGAAACAGTTCACGATAAGGTCAAAGTTAAGAACTCCAATTACCTTTAAAAAATTTAGAACTTATTATATTTTGGAAAGAATATGCCAGTTCTGTTTATTTACTTTTAAAATTATGAATAAAAATACAGTTGAGAATATTTTGCTAAGTGAAATAAGTCATCCAGAAAAAGCCAAGAACCATAATTTCACTCATACGTGAGATATAAAACTGAAATTCACAGACACAGACCACAGTATGGTGGTTACCAAGGGAAAAAGGGTGTAGTAAAGTGTGAAGAGGGGCAAATATACGGTGATGGAAGATGATTTAACTTTGGGTAGGCATACAATGCAATGTACAGATCATGTATCATAGAAATATACACTTGAAACCTATATAATCTTATTAACCAATGCCACGCCAATAAATTTAATGAAAAAGAATAAGAAATACAAAACTCTTGAATAAACATGTCAATTAGTTCAATAAAATGTATTTCAGTTCTTTATTACAGAAGACCTAAAGAAAAGATCTAAATATATAAAGTAAGAGTCGGGGAAGGAAGAAATATGGGAACTGAGAAACAGTGTAAGAAAAAGAAATAGATAATACATGTACACCAAAAAGAATAGCTTTAAAAAAAATGTAAGGTTTTAGGATATGGTTTCTGGGAAAAAATAGGAGTACTTTTTTGCCTGAAAGAGGTTGTAAATATTCTTAACAAGAGAAGGAGTTATTTAAAAGACATCTTAAAATAGCTGTAGAAAGTTGGACTTATAGCAGATTTATGTATTAAATCCTTTATATCTTGTATCCATTATAACAAATCTCTTGTCCTAAGTAAACAAGTACATATGGCATACTCTGACATTAAAAGCATTTCTTGGGATGGGGGTGATAAGAAATATGATAGGGAAGGGCAAAGAAAACATTTCAGTGATTGGGCAATATATTTGGAATTTACACAGTCCTTTTACACCTAAAAATGTGTTGGAGCCCTCGCTGGTGTGGCTCAGTTGGTTGGAGCATTGTCCTGTAACCGGAAGGTCGTGGGGTTGGTTTCTGGTCAGGGCACGTGCCCATGTTGTGGGCTCAGTCCCCTGTTGG